TGTGGTTTCTAGCTGTTCCCCTTATCCTAGAGAGACAACGGCTTCCCCATGTCATATTGATTCCTTAACTTTTGGGGGAGAAACCCCACTATAACACCCCTTGTTACATGCATGAGATCCATCAGTTTATTCAACCAGTCAACAAATATTTTTTAATTAGGTTCCCTTGAGAGATTGTTGTACGTGTTCGAACTAGAGTTAAGCCAGAGGTCTGGGTCAGCAACCTGGGTAAAATTCCCATCTCTCCTGTCTTCTAGTTAGAAGACTTCTTGTATGTAAGCTTCTTGGCTGTAGTGAGTGTGGTTTCTCACTTGCCAAGTGAGGTCTAGGCTGTAAGTCCTTTCTAAATGACACATTGTTGTTGGGACCTGAGCAGCTTGTGACCCAGATATTCATATATGCCAATAAGGTGGATGAGAAGAAGCCAGAGCTAGGAAGTAACAGGAGCTGCTGTGAGACAGTCTTAACCCCAGGAGGCTTTCGGCTGCTCATTCAGCAGATGTTGTAAATTCCATGCCAGGTACTGTACAAGCGCTACCAACACAACGGTGGCCAAGAGAGAGGTCCTTCCCTCTGGCTAAAGGTGGCTGATGAGCCAGGAACAAGAATGGTAGCGATGTAGTTTGAAATTCATTGCACAGGGTGCTGTTGGGAACTAGGAAAGTTGGAAGTAGGAAAGAGGGGAAGGAGAGAGAAAGCAAAAAGTGTCTGAGGGGCAAAGAGCTGGGCATCAAGACATTGTGTAAGACAATCAGTGTGATCACTCCCTGAGAGAAAATTCATCCTCATCAGGCCATCTTGACAAACCCAACATCAGTCCAAACCCAGACTACTCCTTTCCTCCAATGCGGTTAACAATCTAGGACACCAAAGATATCTGGTGAGACGTTTCCATTTTCCACAGCTATACATAACTCCTGCATATGAGTCAAAATTATACTAAAGCCACATGTGGTTCTGTGTACTTGCCAGCCTATTTGCCTCTCTCAGAAAGGGCTTCACCAGGGACATGTAAAAGGGTATAAATGCCTACATAAGGTACTGCCCCTCAGATCTCTTCTAGACAAGATAGCCACCCCCAGTTCCACAAGTAATTGGAGCAGATCCAGAAACAGACTCTGAGAGCCCCAAGCTCTTCTTTATTTACCCTTCAGTAATTACATATCTTCCCTATTGGAGGCTGAGCAATTAGTCTCCCATTGTCTTTGCAGGAAATGACATCCATGTGACTTCTTGGGAAGGCAACTGTTGACCACTCTGGTTAAGATAATTTGGAAAGTGTTCAGCATTTCCTCTGGATGATTGTGTCCAGCTGACTTAGAGCTTGTGGGAATGCACAGACAGAGACACTGTCATCATAACCAGAGCAGGACTGGGTCAGTTCCAGCAAGATGAATCTCCAAGTGCTGCTCTGGCCCTTCAGAATGTAAGGGGGCTCAGCACCTTGCCATCCTGTCCCTTTTGGGAGCGTTTTTCTAAAGCAAACAATTGGCAACTCCACTCAGTGAGACCTAAACAGTGAGGCGTTCACTGGGAACTCAGAGGTGCTGAAGTCCATGCTCTGCTTCCCAGTGTTTTTTCCATATCTCAGCCATAGCCCTAGGCTATAGCAAAAGAGCCATGGAACTCCAGACCCCCCTTTCTCGAGCGTCCGTGTACACACACACACACCACACACATACACACACACACACACACACACACA